GGACGCTGCCAGATTCTTAGATGAAAAAAATGTTCGTCCATACACCAAATTTAACGGCAAAATGAATGAGAAACAAAGAAAATGGAATACAATTTGCAAAAAGCAGTGGAAGAAAAAAAACATCATAAGTATTTACAATGAAATTCTCTATTCATTGACTGTAGTGGTTGATCAATTGAGAAGCTGTGAAATGCTAGAAATGTCTCTGATTACTAAAGTTTAGAGGTCACAGCAGCTCGTCTTTATAACATCACTTCAGCTTCTCGACCGGAGCAGAATGGCTGCTGTTTGAATCTGCAGAGTGGTTCCTTTACTGAGGGCCTAATGGATAGCATGTCTCTTGATGTCTTTGGCAGAGCTGTGGTCATAAAAGTGTCTTTAAAGCCTCGCTATGATCCCCTCATCCTAAAGTCCTGACCCTCTTTGTACTTTATTATCCTCTGTTGATCAGGGCTTTAGTACACACGCTTCACACTGAGAGTACAGCTTTGTATCTATCTCTCTTTAATCTCAGCTTTCTCTACCACCCATTTCTTCTTTGTTTAACTGCGGTCTCTGCACTGTATTCCTCTTCTCGTTTTGTGCCCAGCTCAACACATACCCGACCTCTTCTGAGAAGTGTTTTGGGGTAAAAAGAGAGGCAGCGATGAAAGACTGATTTAAACACGTGTCGGAGACAGCTGTTGGCACATGTGCTTCTCGCATACAGATCTATTTTCTGTTTGGTTTTTCAATATCAAAATCTGAGAGGAACAGTCTCCGTTTATTTTACTATCAGCTCTGGCTCTTGACGATGGAGAACCAGCAGGGTGAGATGTTAACGTCTGGTTGGATTTGTATAAAACTTGTGGGAGATATTTTGAAGGCAAGATAAACGCAGACACGCAACGTAAGCGCTCGGAGAATGGAGATTAGAAAGATGACATCTTGGAACTTTTGTTTAAATGCTTTAAAGAAAGACGATGTTACGTTTATTAGACTTCTTATTTCTGTGGATTGAGCAGTCTTACGTTTTGGAAGGATAGCAGCAAATGCGCTAGTATTTTTCATGAACTGTCCATGTTTTTAAAGCCTAATTTGCTAGCAAAAAAATGAGATTACTTTATTTGTCACAGAATGTCAGAATCGTGCTGCTGCCTGTCTTGACTCCCCAGGACTCTGATGGTCAGGATGAGGGTTTATCTGTCATCAACCTGCTCTCCTTCACCTCCCTCCTCTTCCTCCTCCAGCTTTATTTAGCCCCTGAGGAGCAGCCAGCTCCTCACCACAAGACTTTACCAAAAGCCTTTTATTTAGACTCTCTGTCTGCAGATCAACTTACTCTATGCCTTTTTTCTTGAACGTTCAACGACTGAGATCCGCTCTGTTCGTTAGGTGCCATGCACCTTCACCATCAGAAGAAAGGGGAAAAAGGAGGAAATGTCCTCTTCCACACAGTCGGGGTTATTTGTGGTTGTGAGGAACGACGGAGTGGAGCTTTAATGAAGGACTGCTGCGGCGTCGGGAGCCAGCGGTCGGAAAAAGCCGGCAGGGCAATGACAGCATGTGGCAGTGGGGCAGCGGGGAGACGGGATCAGCTGTGGTAAAACGTCCTGATGAGCGGAAAACAAAACTCTGGAAAAATGAACACACTGAGCTGAATAAAGGATGGAAGAGGGAAGACCCTGGAAATCCCCCGGAAAACGAAAAAAAAAAAAAAAAACAAAGAACAGCAAAGACACGTGCAGGAAAATGTGTCTGAGATGAGAGTTTTCTTTAAGAATGTCACAGTTCATTGAAATGATTCTCAGTTTACACTCAACTAAAGATGCTGCTTTTTAAACCATAAATACAGCTACCACTGAACCTTTTAAAACCAACCCTGATAGTAATAATAATAGACTTTATTTGGCATGGACATCACAGATACATTGGACGAACCAGATGCATTGTTTAAGTGTTTTAGCAAGCATGCTAGTTCTCAACACCTGTCCACAGGAGGCTTTTGAAAAAAACAAACAATTAAGATAGGGAGAAAAGTGATAAACAGAGAAAACAATAATGGGAGAATAAATAAATGGAACCGTAAGGGCAAAGGCAGCATGATCAAACAATAAACCAGTCAGAAGCTATTCATGTGAGCACTGTTGTTTTGATTTTAGCCGTTGTTTGAGTCCTCTGTTGTCCTAGTTGTTTAAACAAACACAGCTTGTAACATATTGATATGATAAAGTAAACAAACAGTGTGTTTGACTGACTCTAAAATATACAAAATATGTTTACCTGCATTCTAAAAGTCCAGTTTTAGTCAGGCCATCACAATACATCACATTTTTCTAACTACATGTAGCATGCTGAGTGTCATAAGAAGTCCATATCAGAGTCCTGCATTCTCGAAAGTCATCAGCTGGTGCAGTTCACTTTGGCCCTTCTCACAGGAAGTCTGTTTAGTATAAAATGAGTCTTCGGGATGTCCAGGTGTAAAGGTACATCCTGAGTCCATGCAGCTGTTTCTTCTTGTACCACAAATAGTCCTCATGAACCTGCATGGGTCTGGCTCCAAATTTACTGCAACTCTAAATGGGTAAAGCAGCTGTCAGTCAGGGTCCGCTGCCAGTTTATTGGAGAGTTTGTGGTTTCCTGAGTTTCGTCATTCAGTCTCATTCGGCCGCAATCTGCAGAATCTGAACAACTTCCTGCACGGGAAGATTCTTTGGCCCCGGATCGCTCTTTCCACTGTCACAGCGTGGTGTCAGACGCAGAAAGGTTAGCAACACATTATTACACATTCACCAGGACTGAACTAACACACATGTGGAAGACTTTTCAAGATCCAACATTCATTTTCTCTCCCATGAAGACACAATGAGATCCACAACCCTCCAGTGATGCTGATTATCTGAATAAACATGCAGCAGTTGTGGATTTTTCACAGATGGCCGTTTTTAATATTTCCCAGATGAACTTGATGGAAGAATCCCAAAGTGTCTGTACAAATCTGTGAGAAATCCAGTACAGACACATCCACGCTCACTGAGGAAAAACTGAGACTCTGATTTCAGCTTCAAGATTTGTTGAAGCATTCCCAAAGTTAGCGTGCAGCACCCATCAACACCCTGGCAGCGCTGTAAATCTCACTAAATCACTGAGTTGGAGAGCAGAGCAGACTCGGGGTGGACTGAGGGAAAGTCCTCGGCTGGCTCTGTGAATCTTGGCTCGTTGGACTGTGATGACAACAAGACTTCTTCCTGCTGGAGGAGATCTGCTCCCTCAGGGGTCAAGGTCCAAGCTTCACCAAGGATCAGGATTACACTGACCAGATACCTCGAGCATTTCATCCTCTGGTTAGGAAAAATACAAACCTGAATTGTCCTTTAGATGGAAATTAAACAGGAGCAGAACCCCTCTTGAACTTTTCTCACCAAGAGGATGGCCTGAACTCTTTATGCTTGCAGAAGAAATGAGTTACCCTTTTATTCAGGACCTTCAGGACTAAGTCAATGCTTCATATTCAGAAAAAACCCAGATGAGATTTATAGGAAGAAGCTGACGGATGCCTCCAACTACCCCAGCTGCAGAAATGCGGACATTTCCGATTGGTCAGGGCCTTCATATGGGTGTTGCCCCAAGAAGAACCCTGTGCTGGGCGCCAAATAAACTAGCGTTAGATCACACACCCCATGTATTAATGCTATAGTCCTCTTTGCAGTGATCATGGGTTCAAATCTGACCTCTGCCCTTTGCCACATGTCACCCCCCCATTCACAATTCCTGTCTCTTTGGCTTTCCTATCCAAAAAATGCAAAAAAAAAAACAGACAAAAAGACCCTTCAATAATCGGCAATAACTAACGTGTTCAGTGTTCTGCTCTACGGTGGAGTTGTCTTCCATTTCAGATGAATGCAGACATAACACCCAATGACAAAAATGACAAAAAGTCAAGAATGGCATTGATTGCAAAGACACAGCAGAGAACAGGTTCATTAGAGGGACTACTTTGGAAACAGTTGTACTTGTTTAAAGCTTTGATTGTGAGTCAGTTCTGTATTATTCCCATCTGGGACAGAAGAAGCTTTTTCTTTGGCCAGATGAGACGAACCTCATGAATGAACATCCCTTATTCATTCCCTCTTTTTCCCGTGCAGGGAGCTGCTGTGTTGTGTACCGCTTCCATCAAACGGTGACACAAAGTGCTGAAACACATGCACAGAGAGAAAACAGTGGGTACGACGAGCGACCACCAGGCAGCTCTGAGGGAACAGAAAGCCACAGAGCGACTGAAGGCCACTGAGTGAATCTGCAGCTGCTCATAGCCCAGACTTCACTGCATGGATTATAATGCACACTCACACACTGTAGACACACAGAAACACACTCATCAATCAAGACAACATCTTCTCACAAGAGAGTATCCAGGAGAGGTTTAGTGATTCAAGGATTTCTGGACAAACTCAGGGTTAGTCGTTTGTAGCTTTTGTATCTGAAAATGATGGAAGTATTCAGGGTAAAATGCTGGTATTATTAAAAATCCTAAAAATGGAGCAAAAAGTTTCAGATTTCTTTAGCCTGCAGCAGTGAAACAAGCTGTGATGAATGCAGTCAAAGTGTGACTACGTTCTTCAAATTCCTGTTTCTGACACTGACAGGCTCATATTGGTATTCTAAGTGTCTGATGACATTACAGAAAGGATACTCACAGAGATAGACCTTTTGTAAAAAGGGAAAAATATTTGTATTTATTTGAGTTGACATCGCTAAAGTTCAAAAGGTAGTCGTTAGTTAATGGCATTTTTAAAATGTAATTAGTTTGTATACAAAAACTTTTTTTTTGTACCTTTTATTTAGCATCTTTTTATTTTCGGAAGCGAAGGCTTTTTCACTTCCTTTTTGGATACAAACCTTCTCTTATTTTGAAATAAAAAAGAACTCCCAGTAGTTCGAAGGGATCATCACTTATGGAAAGTTATTGAAGGTAATATAAGTTAAAACAGTCACATTAAAGCATTAAAACAGACACAAAATCAAGGTGAGAAGCAAATTAAGATAATAATAAAAACTCCATTTACATTATTTCATAATGTAAAAACTCACATGAGAAGGTTTGGATTGAAAGAGGTTACAGCCTTTGACTGATAAATTATTGAAATTCAACAGAAGGAGTGCACTTCATTGTAGAAACATTTGGATGTTTAATTTGTTGTTGGAGAAGAATTTGACATTAAAGGTCACAGTGCAAAAAGTCCTTTCTTCAATTTAAAGCATCTCTGGAATGATCACACTTTACAGTCTTTCCTCTCAGGAAGCTCTATATGTGATTTTTTGTTTTGCTTCTCACCGGTGTGTCTGTGGCGTCTGTCTTGCCCAGTAGCACCATTATCAGTCATAGCTGAAGCTGCTGGGAGCTCTGGTCGCTGTCCTGACTGTCCTCCTCGGTGGTCGTCCTCGGCGGGCTCGATGAGCGTTGCAACCCTATGATCCCCGAAAACTCAGACGGCAGTAACGTCCCTTTTTTTACATTCACCAGTTCTTTCTCCCGTGCCGCTGCCCCCTGCTGGCCTCCTTTTACACGCTTCCACTTCATCCTCCTGTTCTGGAACCAAACTTTTACCTGAGAGGAAACGCAAAAGACAAACATTAATGATGATCAACCAGCAGTTCAAATGTTCTTCATCAAGGCTATGAAGTTTATTCAAGCCACTAGCACACAGGTTGCCATGTCGCAGACATTGAAGCTTCAGTGTTTAGCCAGCTCTGCATCGGTCTATAAACCTTTCTGCGTTCTAACCTCTCTCCATTTTTCAAAAGCATCTCCAATATTGATCCTAGTTTGAGCACGTTTCTGCTCGTGGAGCTTATTAGAAACATGCAGAGGCTTTTTTAGGTCGGGTACAATCACTTCTATCTGAACCAGTTCTCTTGCCCGCTTCCATCGCTGCAACACCTGTTGGTTTGACCTGATAACTGCTCTCATATCTGGTAAACCGAGGGGCGTCCAAAACGGCCGTGTGGGGGTGCCTTAAAACCACCTACCTTCTCTGGTCCAAACAAATCCAGAGCATTCAGGAGCAGAATGTAAAGTTAGAAGGAGGACATACTGGCTGCTGCATTGTTGTCAGAGAAGCCAGCACTTCAACATAGCATGTTTCCTTAATGTCTGATCAGATAGTAAGATCACTTTATCATTTCAGTCAGTAGATATCTTATTGTATTTATTTCTCCTTTAAAGTTGTTAGAAAATGTATTTCAGAAAAACTAGTGTCTCATTTGTCTTCAAAATTGCAGCATACTTTTCTGAGCAGAAGTAAGTGTGTCCTCTCAGTCAGAGTGCAGTATGCTGATGTCTTTTCTAGTTCATGTTGCTCTCTGGTTGTGAGCGTGATGTTTGGATGAGTGATGTTACAGTTAGTATCACAGGGTCGTACTGTATTTCATTATAAACATGTATTTGCTGATGCATGAGTCACAGCAGCCTGTTGGCTCGACCTCCTCTCGTATCGTGTTTATATCTCAGAGTGTTGAATAATCTGCTGCCTCAGACCGGGACATCCAATCTGGACTAATGATACACACAGCCAGTCCTCTACTGACGGCTTCTTCTGTCACAGCTCTCTTAAACCGCCTCACTGCAAACCCCCTCCACCACCGCCACACAAATTTATACACCAGCAGTCTGAACATTTCAAACCAGAGCTCTTATATGAAGAGAAATAAACACACATCTTTTAACTCTGGTGACTGAAAATAGTGACTTAAAATGTCAAATGAAATAAGATAAGTCAAGTCCTCTGGTGCAGGCTAAAACCATTTGAAATTCTCCAGTGAACTGGGGAGATTTGTGCAGCTTTAAGGCTCTGTGATACAAACCTTAAAGCTGCAGAAAGGTCCCATTTTCAAACAGCATGTTTAAATCTGTACGGTAGGCTGAGAGCAGAAGCCTTAAAATGTCAGTAAAATCACTGACGATATAGAATGAAGCACTAGTTAACAGATTTATTGGACCTCTGTTGGCGACATTTGGAAGCAGCCAATGTGAGGGGGAGTGATGAGGGACCCGAGTCCAGACAGGAAGAACTGAATCCTGGGTGAGTTGTCCAGGCTGCTGCCCGAGCCAAACACTGATCGTTCTGAGCCAACAGACCTCTGAGGTTGTTTTTGGACCTAAGAGCTTGATGTCTTTAAAGTCAGACAAAGACATTTACAGGAGAGTGTAAAGAGCTCTAAATATTTATACAACCTCTACTGTCTTTTAACACCTGAAAAGAAGTGACAAATTTGGAGCTTCACACCTCTAAAATTGTGAACAGTTGCTGGGATACTTTAAAGCTCATCTCTTGTGTCCCGATTAAATCATTTTTAACATGTTTTTTTTAATCCCAGCATGTTTAAGGTTCACATCATGAACTCTATACGACATGATGGCTCTTCAAAAGTGAAGCCAAATCGTTTGGAGCGCCCCCTACTGACTGGCTGCAGTATATGTCATAAGCTCCGTCTCCTCCATGTTAACAGATGGGACACGGGTCAAGCTTTAAAAATGAAAATACACGTGGAATACATTTTTCTCAAACATGCTTTTTGTCATAGTTAGTTCTTACTACGCTGATTTATACGTGTTTAGTTTTAGTTATCTGATGCTATTAAAAAATAATATGTCGCCATGATTGACAGCTCTGTTGAAAAATGAGGCTCCTGCAGGGCTGTGTGCCTACAGGAGAAACAGTGAGCAATGAACACATACACATAAGTCATTTAACTCTCCTTGATGCAGGAGTGTCTGCTTCAAACCGACACAAGAATCAGTTCAGCTGGGGACAGAAACTCACTCGAGGGATCCATGGCGTTTTATCCGTAATTTGTGTGTGTTGTTTTTCTGGAAAGCGGAAAGGAGCAGGACCTCAGTACCGTTGCTCCACCTGCTGAACTCTACAGCACAGACTTCCCATAAATGAGTGCAAGTTGCGGGGGAGTATTTGGACTTCACTTTTGTACAACAGGAGGAGCTGGAGACATGTCGTCGATCTTTATATACAGTCAGTGACTTTCATTATTAAAGTTCAACACGCCTAACACACAAACACACAGTCAGAGCAGTTCTAGAAAATAAATGAATGAAAGAGTATCAAAATAACTGCAGATAATACAGAATGTACATTTTAATCAATAATCTAATTTTGCAGTGTATTCAAAATAGGTTTAGTCACAGCCGCCCAAGTATATTTCCCAACCTCTGATTTCTCATATATCGACATATTTTAAAGAATCTCTATTTTTTAGTGTCCCTATTCTAATTCCAGCTGTCACGACGTGGTGTGGTTTCCCTATTCACTTATATCCTTTTATTTATTCATCTTTTTATTCCCTCTTCTTTCCAGAAATAGCCTGAAACAGTAATCCGTCATTTTCCACCATGACTGTCACACACAAACGTTTCACAGCCAAATCTGAACAGCAGCACACGCGGCACGCTAACTTCATACAAATGTTTCTCTGAGAGCTTTTAAGAAAACCATCTGGAGTGTGACACACTGCATCTCGGAGTCACTTCACACACACGTACAGAGCTGCCCGCTCACGTTTCAAAGAGTCCGTGTGGTTTGGAATCGATTAGCCTCCGAGCATTAGCATGACATGTCCAACCGTTTGCTCATGTCAAAACACAGACGCTTTCTTCTGCTGTGAACATTTTGTTAATGAAAACCAAATTTCAGCTGAAGTGATTCACTGACGCATGATGTCACTGTACATGAAGACTCTTTAAAAGCTCACAGACTACATAAAGAAGTAATCACTGCTAAGTCTTCGACTAGAAAAAAAAAGCTTATTTAGCTTCACTCATTCGAGGGAGATCTAAGTCAAATGTCATTAGCCCATACAGACTGCGTGGTTATCCATCCTTTAAGCTGAAATAGAGTAAAGTGGATGTCCTGATAACTTTATTTAACCTAAATCAGTTAAATTAAAGGGATGCTGAAAATGCTTGTCAAAGCTCCTGTGAGTAACGTTTGGTTTGTAATAATAATAATAATAATACATTTTATTTATAAGCGCCTTTCAGGACACACAAGGACACTGTACAACAATCAACATTTTTAAAAACAGCGATGGATAACAAAAACAGCATACAATAAAGAAATGGAATTGTTGACAGTGTAATTACAGTTAAAATGTCAGAGTGAGTAGGCGATCTTGAACAGATGGGTTTTGAGTCTGGATTTGAAGATGGGGAGAGAGTCAACATTGCGAATGTCCGGTGGCAGAGAGTTCCAGAACTGAGGAGCAGCTCTGTGTCAGTTTTGGCGCCCCCTTTGGACAGATGGTGCGTCTGATCTCTGCTGAACTTTTCCTGCACATTTGGTAGTAATGTTTTCTGGAGATAAAAACATCTCTCCTCTTGCTTTCTTTGAGCTCTTTAACTTTTCTCTGATCAGAATGGAAAGGTTAAAGTCTGAAGCGTGCTGGTAATCTGCTTCTCTGTCACCTACACCGCTGTCAGCGTTCACAGGCATAAAGAAAACAATATAGAAATCATCCTTCTGCTGATATTTTCTGCTTGTTTGCTTTTGTTGCTCATAAAGAGGCATCAGTATTGATTCCAACTAATTTGCATGACCCTCAAAAATCTCCTCACAGGAGCTTTAAATTCCCTCCAAGCCGTTTAGGATTTTTGGCCCTCAAAGCCTGAAAACAACGGTAACCTGTAAGCGGCTTTAGCTCGATCATCAACAAAACACTCGTTATCCTCTTCAGAGTGGTTTTTTTAAATTGTTGCAAAGCAGATGATTCAAAGCAACCTGAAAATGCACCTATTTCAGATTTTATTAAGGTTTTATTCTCTTACCTTCCTCTCTTCATCTGAACTGATACAAAAAAAACAGATGGAACTGGTATTGATTACTTCATCTGCCCATTAGTTTTCCAAATTGTAGGAATTATTTTACACTGATTGCGGATTTATGGCCAAAATCTAAACTTATTCTTGTTATAAGTTTTTTCTTTTTCGTTTTTTTATTCTTGTTATTTAAAGGTTGAAAAGAAGAATTTAAGTTTTTTCAGCGACATTGAAATCTTGACAGAAGCCCTCAGCTGACATGCATCAATGAATGTTTCATTTAACTCAGTTTTCCCGTCATAAAGAGTCCAATGTGATTGTTTTCTTGAGATCCCAACCTATTTGTCTTGTCTCATTGGGATAACAACGTTGTTTTCTTTGGTGATAACAGACTTATTTCAGCGGTTTTTTTTATCGAGATCTTGATTAATTAACCCGTTAAATTTATGGATGTTTGTCGTACGTCTTGCAGCATAATTTAGATTTTCTCATAAGACTGAAAGTGTTCGACTCTTAAGACAGAGAAGGACACCAGTGGTTCCCCTCCTGTGGTTCAGCGTGTTACCGTACTTGTCTTTCAGTGAGGTCGAGGTTGACGGCGATTTCGTAGCGTCTCAGTCGGGTCAGATAGTTGTGGTGAGCGAACTCCGACTCCAGCTCTCGGATCTGTTCTTTGGTGAAGGCCGTGCGATCCTTCCTCGGCTTGCTGTTCATGTCTGACTTATAGCTCCCGTCCAGGGACTCTGAAATGAAAAACAGAACTTTTTCCAGCCACAGCTGAGCCTCCAAAAGAAAAAAAAGAAAAGAAAGGGGGGGCAGAGGAAAAGACATGAGGGGCGTTTGATAAAGTGCAGGGCCTCTCTGAAACACAAATAATATGAGAGCACACGATTAGAGTGCCAATCAGATTTTACTGCAGCACTTTGAGTGCTGAAGCGCCCGGAATCAGACCGAAGTTTACTCTTGAATGCCTCCATTTAATAATTTACAGTCAGAGAAGTATAAAACTAAATATGAATGTCATATATCATTTGTATTAAACAAAATACTGAATATTCAGAGCTCTTTCAGAGAACATGGACTGTAAAGAATAACTCCAGTTTGTTTGTCAAAGTTTAGATTGTTTTCAGAGATCTTGAGTCAGTGGTTCCTGACCCTTTTGGGCTTTTTGACTTCACAAAACTCTGGCGACCCCAAACATCTAAATCACATACAGTTTTTTGGACAAATTATTTTGTTTCAATCATGTTGTAGTTTTTCTACTGTGTTGAAGTTGAACATTGTAGACCACATTTAGGTTTTTTTCATGAAAATTATTGTATACAGAGGAAGAAAGACTGGGAGGACATTTCTGCTCAACAGATGATAGACAGAGACTCTGCACAGTGGCTTGTGTTCACTATATTTTTTACTAATTAATAAATGCAAATTTCCGGCGACCCCATTTGAATTCCATGCATCACCACGTGGGGTTGGGACCTCAAGGTTGGAAAAGCCTGTCTTAAAGGGGACAGATAATGAAAAACCCACTTCTACAGTTTTTTTGAACATTTATTTGGTAACCTAAGTGTCTACTGACCCACAAAATATGAAATAAGCCCATCCAGTCTTTTGTTTGTGGTCGGTATAAGTCTTGCAACACAGAGAAAAATACTCCGTTTCAAATCTGCTCTCCTTGTGATGTCACAGTGGGAAAAAGAAAAACCCTCCCCTCTCCTTATATTTCCACCCATGGACTCCAGCCCCAGCCTAGAGCAAAACTTTTGCGCACATCTGCCATTTAATTCTCCCTACAGAGGAGTGATGTCTACAAGGAAAACTAAGGGGTGCTCATTGCATTTAAAGAGACACACACACCAAAACAGCGCGTTCTGAGAGAGCTGATTTATACAGGGTCACAAACCTCCTCTGGTGCTTTATTCATGTTATATTTTGACCAAAGCAGAGCACAGATGTTTCATTTAGACCACAGGGGACTGTTTGAAAAGGTGGAACAGGGGTGTAATATGTCGTCTTTAACTAATCCACTTAGACATTTAAGTAAACTTTAACTCTGTTGTTGAACACGGTGAGAAGGTAGACTCAGAGGGCCGAACAAACACCTAGCTGTGGGAGTGTCACCCACCTGGGGGAGGGGTTACTGCCCTTTGTGATGTCATGAAGGGAACTTCTCCAAACGGCCTGTTTGAGCACACATTTTCTGAAAAGTGGAGCAGGTTAAAAGACGGAGAGGATGGACTTTTCTCATCACTGGGGAGTTTGTTGACAGACTAGAGACACATATTAGTGTTAGAGAAACATGGTGAAGTGTAGGTCACAACATATGTGACCTTTAAGTCCAAAAAATGAGGTGTGAGGAACAAGAAGGTAAATAATGCATGCTTTGTTGATTCATTCAATACAAAAATTATTTTCTGGTGACAGACTTATAGCTGACTAAACTTATATTATTATCATGAATGCTGGAAGAATGAGTCAAGTGGAATTATGAAGTAAAACTATAATGTTTTTTAAAGGGACACGTTTTCAGGACTCAGTGAAGTGAGATGAAGCCACATGTTGTCCATAGAAACATTAATGGACCCTACTTAGTCCTACTTGACCGTTCGTGTTGCACATAAACACTCAACGTTTCCCCCGATTGTTTTCGAGCTTTCACGGTGAAATCATACTTTCCTCTCATATCGTCTGTCATGAAAGTCGTATTTCAAACATATTTAGTGTTTTTCGTGGTCGGCGGACGGTGACAATGGCCTGAGTAATCCTTCAAAGTGAATAATCATTTCTGCCGAGCTCGCTGCGTAAATCCAGCTGACATTTCATTAGTCGTGTAAATGTGCGGCGTGCTGACAGACTGCAGTGTGCCAGGAAAACACACACCGTCTGAGCAGTAATGTGACACACCACACACACACACACACACACACAACTATTACACAAACACATTTAGCATTGGTATTTTTCTGTCATACAATCCGTCTTTTATGTTGTTTCATTTGCTGCTATTCATTCTTTGATGTGTTTTGTTTTCCATGAAGGTTTCTATTCAGGATGGTTGTATTTCCTGACAGACGGGAAGTCACTTTTTTCAGCCTTACAGTCAATAAAACGTCTATTTTAAATATTTTTAGGACAGAAACTTTGTATATTTCATCATAACTCGACTCTTTTTATGTCCAGAAAAACTCAGAGTAATAAAAAAGTGCTGCGGCCGCTGCGAGTGCCAGTGAATTTCGAGTTAGGAAATTGGATTGGGGTTTGGTCCCTGGCAGCTTCACTGGATCTTTTTCAAAGTGTTCAAACTGTCAGTCAGAGATCCGGATCTGCTGACCCCGGGATGTCGACTCGGGGGGGGTGAAGGTTGGGGTGGGGGGAATCATAAAGATATGGTTCCTGATTTTGAGTCTTGTGGGTTTATGTCTCAGATGATGTGCTCTGTTGAGTCCTCAATGGAAAGCGTGTGCGTGAGCGCGTGCGTGTGTGTGAGCGCGTGCGTGTGTTTGCCAGGAAGTAAAGTTTCATTCAGCCAAAGCTTAACCTGCACTTTCTCTTCACCTTTCACTTTACAAACTGTTCAGACGAATGTGTTCAAGGCGGTTCAAGGCCACAGCCGGGGTCATGACCTCTGTGTGTTCTTTGCTAGTTCCTGGTTTTTTAATAACCTGAAGGGAAGCTCTATTTTACACTAAAACCGTTGCATGATGGGGGATTTTAACAAAGTTTTTTCAACATTTATATATATATGAAAAAAGAATACATGTTAAAATATTTAAATTAAAAATATTATATTTCAGATTCTTTCATGTGATAAAATGAAAAGAGAGTGACGAGGAGCCTTATAGCACTTTGACATCCTTCCTAAAGAAATGATTAATTAGCCGTTTTCAGACCGCAGGAACGTCTTCATAGTTCGAGGAACCATTGTATGCACTTTTTTCTTTTCTTTCTTTCTTTCTTTAGGTATTTTGGATCATTTTAAAAACATTTGTATGATTATTTATGATAAACAAAAATGAACTGCTTCATTCAACTTCTCATTTTCTTTCCTTGGCTTCTTTTCAGGCCCTGGTAGATAAATCTGAGAGGTTGAATCTCACTGACTGAACACACCTCAGCGTCTCTTGATGATATTAAATATGCAGTTGTAGATAAATAAGAACTATAGTGTCTTTCTGTGTGCTCACACACTTTCATCTGAAACTACGAGGAACATGTTTCTCTCAAGCAGCTCCTTTCATGGACCCAAATATAAAAACTGCAAAACTCCGACTCTGCAAAGTCACTCCTATTTAAATATTCTGTAGAATACAAACTAGAGACACAAAATGTTTCTTATCACTCACCGTCATCTGTCGTCCGTTTTTTTCTTTCTGGCGGATATAAAAACATTCTCCCTCGAATGTCTAAACGCCATATGACAAAAGTTAATCTGTGAAAATGTCCGTAAAGATATCGGGTTTTTTTTCTTAATGGTTCAAGAATTAAACTGAATGCTGATGGTTGTAATTTGTTTGATCTTTTTTTTTTCCTTTTCCTTTTGATGGTTTCCAAAATGTTTGATAATGTTCATTTCTGAGTTCATAAAATTCTACTATTTAAAATCAGATGTTTAAATAAAGATAAGATATGATCTTCTTTATTTTAAAGGTCGATAATATCAGAAAAGCACTGAAGCTTTAAAAAAAAAAGACAGACTTCATCATACTTTTAACCGAGAGAGAAAAAGAGAGGTCACTGTTTAAATGATAGAAACACTTTGGTAATTATTGACAATGTTTTTTTTTGTTTGTTTGTTTTTACAATTGAGACGGTGTTCAGGATTTTTCCTGCATTTTTTTGTTGAGTTGAAAAACAATAAATGACTCAGTATTGGGTCAATAATACAGAGCAGTTCTTTTTTTAAGCAGCAGAGGGCGCTCTCTGCTTGTGGCTTTCCTTACAGTTTGTGGCTTTCCATCAGTAGTTGAAGAAGAGAGGCCTGATTATGAGAAAAGGGATATTTCGGGTTTTTTTTAATGTAAAATAATTTACATCAAAGAATCATTATTATTCAGTAATTGACTGATTGAATTAAATGTTTTAACCAATATTAGAAGATCATAAAATCAATGTGATCAAGTTGCATCAAAGCCAACTGTTATTGAACAGAAAGTATCGTTAGATTTAATCTGAATATTTTGAAATGATAATCAATCATTTCTTTCTTATAACAATTTCTGAATGAAGTTAAATAAACAATCTAAAATAGTTTTTACTTGGTCTTGTCTCGGTCTCAGACTAGGCGGACTCCATATTTAAAATCAAGACCACCACTGAAAGGCTATATTTCCACGTCGTTACTGATTAGTCTCTTTAGAAAAGAACAAATCACTTTAATTCATTCCTAAATTAGATTTATTTTTTTCGTAGTTACGGCTGCAACGTTCCTGGTGCTACGATCAAAGTGAGTGTGCACAGGAGGAGGATTTTTCACTGATATTTATGGTCTTGGTCTTTACTCGGCCTCGATCCCTAAATATCTTGGTCTTGTCTCGGCGACGGAGCAATCTGGTCTCGGGTATGTCTTGGTCTGGGTCAGTGTGGATTAACTACAACATTAGTCTCAACCTTCCTTCATAATTAATTGTTTAAGCGATGAGAAAATATTCCTCTGAAGAACTAACGACTTTGCTATCAAATATAAAAACATCTCCATGAGCTCTGCTGTCACAATAATTTAACATTTCTGCAAAATCAGTGTGCAGTTTCGAACGATTATCTTCTGGTGGCATGGAAAAGTCACATGTGAAAGTTTAAAAATATAATTTTCTCTTGATTATTTCTTAATAAAATGCAAAAATGCACGTCTCTAAACTTTGATCTTACCTGTTATTTCACTCTGTCCTTTACTGCTCCTTCTCTCTGCATCCTCAGAGGATAGACCCTCCTGTCCATAATCCACTGATACGCCCGTTTGGTCTCCACGGTCCAAACCTGGGTTTGTTCTGCACAGGTTTGAGCTTTCTGAGCAAAGTTCTGGGGCCGAGGCCTCGAGCGGAGGCAGACAGACGCCGTGTCGAGTGTTCTGTGAGGACATCTGCAGGGGGGCGGGCCAGCCGGGCGGGGGCTGCTGGGACAGGTGAGCTCGATGTGCTGGGGCGCTGAAGACTCCATTATCCTCACCTGGAGAGAAGCTGCAAGGCGGCGAGGAGCTGGGTAGGTCCAGGTAAGAGATGTGGTCACTCCGGCCGTGCAGGGTCAAAGGTGAGGAGGTGATGGCGGGGTGCAGACCCTGAGGGGGGGGCGTGGGGGCTGCGGAGGCAACCGAACAGAGAGTGATCCATGGTGAGGGGAGACCTCCAAACCCCCCACTTCTGCCTGAAAGATTCAAACCAAAACTAGAAAGAAAGAGAGGAGACGGATTCAGGGGAGAGGGCCGCCTCTCCTGGCTGTCCTCTGCAGCCCCTCTCAGCTCAGATCTCCAGGACCCCCCGCCTAAATCCCAAAGAAAGTCAGCTGAAGAAGGCACAGCAGTTGGCATTAAAAGAAGAGGCCTGTGGTTCTCCTGCAGACAGACGATGGCTGGGCGGGTAGAGGATAAACAGTGAGGGACAGAGGAGGATCTCTGATGACAGTGGAGGACCAGGACCAGTGTGGAGGGAGACGGAGCTTCAAGAGAAGTGGTGCTGGAAGGGGAGGTAGGGGGGGGCGGAGGGAGGTGGGTGTGGTGGGGTGGGGTGTTATATATAGGCTGTAACCTGAGAGGTAGGCTGGGTTCACTGCCTCTGACCACATGCATGTGATCATCCTCCAAAATGCAACGCACAATAAATGTGAACCGTTCTGCCGCTCCGCTCAGGAAAAAGAGGAAAATGTATTTCAGAGCCGAGATATTCGACCCCGCTCGAGCTTTTTCTAGGAACTGACTGCATCAGCTGCTCGTTTTCGGATGTGGAGCTGGAGACTCAGGAAACGCGGTCTGTTCCTCTGTGGACGTTTGGCAGTTTGTTAAAGAGAGATATTTACACTGAGACGTCTGTTTTGAGAAATGAATGCAACGCGGTGATTTGAACTTTTAAACACCAACATTTTTGTGCACTGCAGTTGACATCGTTTACACAAATCTCACGTCTCGTCACACATGGACGAAAACAAGTCACAGCAAAGATATGGACTTTAAAAAGACTTAAAGAGTCACTATTATCCCCCTTTTCCACCTTTTCAAACAGTCCCCCTGTGGTCTAAATATAACATGAATCAAGCACCAGAGGAGGTTTGTGACTCTGTATAAACCAGCTCCCTCAGAACGCTCCGTTTTGGTGTGTGTGTCTCTTTAAATGCAATGAGCCCCCCCCCTGAGTTTTCCTGGTAGACATCACTCCTTCACTAGCGAGAATAAAAATAGCAGACCAGCGCAAAAGTTTTGTTCTAGGCTGGGGGTGGAGTCCATGGGTGGAGATACCAGGGGAGGGATACCAGAATCCCACTGTGACATCATTGAACACACATTTGAAACGGAGCATTTTTCTGTGTTGTATGACATAAGCAGACCACAAACAAAGGACTGGATGGATTTATTTCACATTTTGGGGGTCGGTAGACACTCAGGTTACCCAAATATATGTTCAAAAACACTGTAGAAGTGGATTTTTCAAAATATTTCCCCTTTAAGTCACAAACACAATTATTGATAGCAACAAGTTCTTGACTGCTGACTCACTTTAGAAGCAGAGGATGTTCTGGCTCACCAAGGTGCGTGAAGAGTGAAAGGCTTAAAGAGGTCAAAAAGCTCCAGCAACACTTGTCGTTCAAGATCAACTTTATTCACAAATTAGACTGACGCGTTTCAGCTTGTGGCTTGTCTTCGTACTACAAGTGTTGCTGGAGCTTTTTGACCTCTGCTCACTTTACTCATTAAATGAAATAAATAAAACTCGAGACTCATGTCGGCTTAGACACTCGATTGGACCAGAGACTTGTCTTTCTAGGAAACACAAGTTAACTGATTTAGTACATTTTATACACTAAGCTCCTTTACAAACTTTGAGTTTTAAAATTACAGTTTTTTTCTTTCCACGATTAAAATAAAGTTTTCAGATGGATTGATCCCTGAACTCCTCCAGCACGTTTCTTCTTCATGATTTTGTCCTCACACAAACAACAGTCTGACCTTTTAATGAAGAGAGAAATATTGCATTGTATTGTTTTTAGACTCTGCACCACAACAAAGGACACCGTCACGTCTTTATTGTTCTTCTTTGTTCTTCTTTTGGCTTCTCGAACGTATTAAAGAAACTCACAGAAATAAAAAACAAACCAAAGAGCCGATTTATGAACTCAGAAATATTTTCATCAAAAAGTGGAGAGTCTGTAAAAAGTGAAACAAACCATAAACTGAACTTTTATAACACTGAGTATAAAAGAAGAAACTGTTTAATAATATGTTTATTGATAATTGTTCTTTCTTTAATTAAACTCAGAAACATAATAAAACATCTCATGTGCAGTTTTATATTCTTTAAATAAACGGCCTCTAATGGTCTCAACTTTTTAATTATGAAATGTTTAATGATAATGTTTAATGAACATTTTGAGGGAGTCATCGAGAGGTTAAGATCGTCATCTCTTTAAAAATAATTATAAAACTTTTTCAAAATAAAAGCTCAGGGACCTATAAAGCCTTCTTTTTCAGAGACTGAGATCTAATCAACGTATAACGTGTGGAAGTGATAGAAAATAATATAAGTCTTGAATAAAATCAATTAAACACACATGCAGACGAACACACAGCATTTTATCCATAAACATGCCGTACAACTGCACGTCTGATTATTTAAATAAAAGTCCAACATGTATGCATACACACATGTTGTGTCAGTAGTGCACGCAGCCTGACTGATTTTTATTTTTTTTTCATTGACTTGGCAGGCACTGGTTTCTGAATCGACAGGATTATTATTATTTATCTGGAAAAGTTGTTCAATTCATGTTTTTATGTAAAAATACTTGAGCTGTTTTTTGCTTTGATTATCTGACTGGTTTGAGACACTGCTCTGTAAAGTTAACACTAGCTGTCAAGCTTACAAAAATATATATATATATATATACCTTCAGCACACACACACACACACACACACACACACACACACACACACACACACACACGTATGAGTGTTTTTAGTTTGAAGTCATTTGTTAAACACTTCCTGTGGTGGGAGCTTTTAAATTAGAGTTGGGCTGTTATTGGAGCCTCGGGATGCAGACACACACACCTCGCAGAAACACACAGACACACACTGCAGATACACACATACACCGCAGAAACACACACACCTTGCAGAAACACACAAAAACATGCACACACACTACCCAGAAACACACATACATACACACACAAGCGCAGGACAGAAACACACACTTCTGGACCTCAGCGCTGCACACACAGAGACACACTGAACGATCGGTCTCCAGAGCTGCTAATGATCCTAATTGTTGGATAAACTTTGTGTTTGTGCTTCGAGACCTGAAACACGAGTCCCCTGGATATGGTTCATGCTGGATCCTCGGCTGAGGCTTTGTGGTGGTTTGATGCTGAAATTCCTTCCAAATGTGCTCGACTTTAAAGCTAACTGCAGCTTTTATATATTTAGATCAGAACTGATGGATGGAGACGCTTGAGGAGGAAAGGTTCCTGGAGCTGCTGGACATGTTAAAGTGGGGGCGACTTATTGCTGCACTGAAGCTCTCTGAGAACGACTTTCTCACTCATATTCACCGTTTCTGCTCCAGTTATGAGGCTGCTTTAAAATCCACCTCTCTCCTCTTCCCTCTCCTCCTCCTCTCTCCTCCTCCTCTCTCCTCCACCTCTCTCCTCCTCCTCTCTCCTCCTCCTCTCTCCTCTTCCCTCTCCTCCTCCTCTCTCCTCCTCCTCTCTCCCCACCTCTCTCCTCCTCCTCTCTCCTCCACCTCTCTCCTCCACCTCTCCTCCACCTCTCCTCCTCCACCTCTCTCCTCTTCCCTCTCCTCCTCCTCTCTCCTCCTCCTCTCTCCTCCACCTCTCTCCTCCTCCTCTCTCCTCCACCTCTCTCCTCCTCCTCTCTCCTCGTCCTCTCTCCTCCTCCACCTCTCTCCTCTTCCTCTCTCCTCCACCTCTCTCCTCTTCTCTCCTCTTCCCCTCTCCTCCTTCACTCTCCTCCACCTCTCTCCTCCTCCATCTCTCCTCCTCCACCTCTCTCCTCGTCCTCTCTCTTCTTCCTCTCTCCTCCACCTCTCTCCTCCTCCATCTCTCCTCCTCCACCTCTCTCCTCGTCCTCTCTCCTCCACCTCTCTCTTCTTCTTCTCCCCTCCAGCTCTCTCCTCCTCCACCTCTCTCCTCGTCCTCTCTCTTCTTCCTCTCTCCTCCACTTCTCTCCTCCTCCATCTCTCCTCCTCCACTTCTCTCCTCCTCCATCTCTCCTCCTCCATCTCTCCTCCTCCACCTCTCTCCTCGTCCTCTCTCCTCCACCTCTCTCTCACAGATGTCTGCCTCGCCCTGTATCGATAAGAATGTGAAACAAATCGATTGATAGCCCGATAAAAGTAATGACCCAGTTTTCCTGCATATTGTGCTAAGACGCTTCAACCTGGTGAGACTTGGAGATGACCTTGTATTTTTCATGATTTAATCCTTTTTTTTGTCACATCTTTTATTTCTAAACGTTAATCGGTATCATTAAAAACAACTAAAACTTCTGTTTTTGAGTTGGACATCGGGGCAGAGAGAGTGTTGGGCTGCCTGCTCCTGTAAAATGGTGTGCAAACTAAACACACTTTGAATGTGTCTGTTTAACATTTGCTATATAGACTTGGTCTGCTATGAAAAACTACTTTATTTTATTTTTGATTGACATGAAGGAGCTTTTTAGTTCAATAATAAAAAATGTCTTAAAAAAAAATTCACCCACTCAAAGACAATAAAGTCCAAATCATTGGTTAAAGGTAATACTGCCCTCTGCTGACAGGCTGTAGGTAAAACATCAGTCTGAGATGAGATGAACATCTGCAGCAGATTATGAAGCTTCATCTTCTTGGATGTTTAAACATTCATCTTCAGTTTATCTTCCCAAAAGATTTTAAGTTTCTCACGCAGGCAAACAGTCAAGGCTTGAGTTCAACATTTCAGTTTTTCTCCATGAGCAGGCCATGTTTAGTATCATATTTACATGATACTAGCTGCAAATATTCATGCACGAGATGGACAAGTACTTCAGAAAGTTTAATCTGGATCAAAAAAATCTCGATTTGTCACGTTTTTGCGATCCAGGAGCAGCTAATCCATTTTACTTTTGTACTTTATATTAGTTTAAAATTAAACCAGATTGTATCACCCTGCTCATATACAGGTTTATAAAGATAACCTTTGCTTTTAAAT